ATCCTGCCTTTTTCCTACAAAGAGCTCAAGGCAGCTTACATCATTCTTCTTCTCCATCTTATCCCCACAACCACAGCCCTGTGAGGTAGGTTGGGCTGAGAGTCTGTGGCTGGCCCAAAGTCACCCAGTTGGCTCCATGGCTGAGCGGGGACTAGAACCCAGATCCTCTGAGTCCCAGTCCCATGCTCTTAACCACTACACCACACTGGCTCTCCTACTTATTAAGTGGTCCCACCACGTGTCTCCCTTTCCTCTTGCTACTTACATATATGTTGGTAGAAGCTCTTTTTGTTGCTCCTGATATTCTTTGCAAGTCTCAGCTCATAATCAGCCTTAGCCTTGCAAAGAATTTTTCTACAACGGACCTCTTCCTCCCGGTATACACTTTTGTCTACTTGCCCCATTACCCATTTCCCACAGAGGTTCCTCTTACGTCAGCTCCCTCATACCACCTCTTTCTGCATCCACGGTGGTGCTCTCCTTCACCTGCCCATATTGCTAACTAAAAATTATGTGTTATAAGATGTGATGTGATCAAAACTACACAAAATATCACATGTTACATGGTGTGGACACCAGGATTTGTTCATCTTTCTTCTGCCTTGTATAACCTGTTGCCCACCTAATTCTGTGATTTCACCCCCTGTGCAGACTGGACAGTCTGAGGGAAACACCAGCCATATTCTAGCCATCAAAATAATGTTCCTGTTCGGGTCATTGTATAGAGAATTTTCTTGCCCAGCCTTCTCAAGACATGATCTTCCAGTTCTGTGGACTGCAACACCCATCATTCCCTGTCACCATACTTGTTTTAAGCCTTGCTTTCTTTTGTTCTGTGGAAGGACAAGGACAGATAAATTTGAGAAAACATTTATCAGAACTTTGGATAGCGATCAGATCCCTCCAAGTCCTTCCCTCAAGAAAAGATTATTTCTGCAGCACTGAGACCTAGTCCAAGTCAGGCATAACAGCCACTGACATACCTGCAGCAATAATGGCCCATGCTTCACCCTTCATGATGAAGGAAATGGCAACTTGCTAGAACATTGCATCTGTGCAGCTGAGAATTGCTTTAGAATATAGAAATGGCAGTAATATTATAGCATATTGTTACAAAGACTTATTTGATAACAGCCAAGGTTGCTCATTATTGAAAACAACTGTTGGAGATAGACAGGTTCATTGGAGCATTGATCTGACCCAGAAAAGCTATAGAAAAACCCTTATTTAGTTAATATTTGATTGAAATTTCTTTCTCATAATACAATAACAATACTGCATCTTCCCTGACCCACCGCACCATTTCATTAGTTTCAACTACGAATAAATCTATACACCCTCAGCTGAGCTTTTGTGCAGTGTTATTGGATCCAGGTAAGCATCCATCAGCATAGATCTGTCTGCAAGATCAAGCCTACCTGTGTCATGAGCAAAGAAGACTTGGATATATTCAGGTACCAAAGTAATTACTTATACTTAGCAGCTAATCCCCTTGCAAGCAATAAGGGAATGTGAATGCAATGCCAATACACCAGTGTCAGTTGGAGTGACAATACTCTTTCACTGCTGTCAGAGACACCTGAAATGCCCTTCCGCTAAAGCCTCTTGTAGGCAGAGATACATCATTAGCCAGTGCTAAAAACAGAATAGATGTTTTTACCTGTGGGAGAGCCCTCTACTTTTCTCAATGCTTATTGCCATGCCATCAACAATCCATCAGAGTTAGAGACGTTTGCCCACAAAGTTTACAGTGTGGAGTACTTAGCCAGGTGGCCTCTCTCATAGTGCATATTGCCACATGTGTAGGATTGC